CCCAAAACAGGAATCGTACCACTTCGCAATATACATTTAGTTGCTTAAGTACATATTATTATAGACGCTCGTACACAATGTTGTATTTATTATATATTATGTATTTACGATATGATATACATAATATATAATAAATACAACATTGTATAAGAGCGTAAATCATTAGTAAATTATCATTGATAATTGTGTTTAGTTCCTTTGCGCTCGCACGTTGACTCATTATTAGCAATTACCACGAAAACTGAAGATATCACTTTCAGAGTGGGTTAGATTGTCCTGTATCAGCTCACGAAGTTCCCCACCAAATCCCACCTTGAGAGTGTTTTGAAAGACATTTATAAATTTTAATGGCAGTTGAATCCAACCAGCCAATCAACAATCACAGTGTGTAAAACGTCATTTGAAAAAGCTCCAATATTATTCCATGGTCAATAAAAACTTTTTGTTTCAGTTTAATTGTGAAATTTATAAATATTTATAAACGTCAAGGAATAGGTTCTTGGTAGCCATAGTAATTTTATTTCCAAATAATACTATAATGTACAAGTTTATTGCCTTCTTGTGAAAAAAATCATTAGTAAATAATCATTTTTTTAGTGTTTAATAAATGAAACAGTTATTTTATGATGATGGTTTCAATCGGAAACTTTCAGTGACTCGCTAAATTTTCAAAGAAATAAAAAAGACGTAATAATACTATGTAATAAAACGAAGCAGTCCTTTCACTTAATTTCACAAAATATAGAGTTTCATTCAAACAAAACCAAAACAAAACGACACAACACAATACGAGGCAACAAGATATAATAAGGGTACAAAAGTAAATTTCCAAAGGTAAATGTATGTTTCAAAGTGAAAGTAAGTAAAAGGAACCAACATTACCCGAAACAGAAATCTTACAACAAGACAAACAAACTCTTATGAAATGACAACCCCCAGATGGTAATTGTTAATATCTAATCATATATATGTTTACGATATATTCATATAAATGATGGGCGTAATTTTCTATGCGAAAATTATAGGGCTTGTCCGGGGTTCGAACCCGGGACCTCCTGTACCCGAAAGAGGAATCGTACCACTAGCCCAACAAGCCAGTTATAAGTAAATGTCATTTTAAACCACTCCGCCATGAAAGGCATTTTTTATATTCAGGCGTCAGAAGCTCGTATACAATTTTGTATTTATTGACATCAATTGATAAATGCTCGCACGTTGACTCGTTATTAGTAATTACCATGAAAACAAATGACATTTAATGATTTTACAATACAGAGTCGGTGAAATGTTTTCATAATATATGGATCAATATTTTGTGGAAGAAAAATCAATACAATAGAGATGGAAGAGCCAACATCAGCCAGCTGCAATTTACTCAGAAAAAACTTCGGTTAGTATAATCAGTTGCCACGAAAACTAAAGATATCACTTTCAGAGTAGGCTACGTTGTCCTGTATAAGCTCACGAAGTTCCCCCCCCCCCCAACCCCACCTTTAGGCAGTTTTGAAAGACATTTATAAATATTAATGGCAGTTGAATCCAACCATACAATCAACAAGTACAATGCGTAATAACGTCATTTGAAAATGCTCCAATGCAATTCCATGGTCAATAGAAACCTTCTTGTTTCAGTTTAATTTGGGAAATTTATAAATATTTATATATTTCAAGGGAATAGGTTTTTGGCCGCCATAGTAATTTTATTTTCAAATAATACTATAATGTACAACTTGCCTTCTTGTAAAAAAGTCATTGGTAAATTATCATTTTTTTAGTGTTTAATAAACGAAACAGTTATTTATTCTCAAGATAGTTTCATTTAATCAGAAACCCTCAGTGACTCGCTTAATTTTCAAAGCATTTCATATTTGTAATGTAGAAATAACAATGACGTAATAATAGTGTGTAAAAATGCGAAGCAGTCCTTTTATTTCACAAAATATAGAATCCCATAAAAACAAAACGACACAACACAATACGAGGCAACAAAATAAAACACGGGTTTCAAAATTTTATTTCCAAAGGTAAATCTACTTTTCAAAGTCAAAGTAACCTACATTAACCGAAACAGAAATCCTACAACAAGACAAACAGACTCCTATGAAATGACAAGGCCCAGATGGTAATTGTTTATATGTAATAAGAGTATGTTATATCATGCATTTGCGATATATTGATATAAATGACCGGCATAATTTTCTATTCATTTTTACACTTACGTACATAATGTATCATGGTTATGTATGCACTCTCTAAAATTATAGGGCTTGTCCGGGGTTAGAATCGGGGACCTCCTGTACTCTAAACAGGAATCGTACCACAAGACCAACAAGCCGGTTGTAAATAAATGTCATTTTAAATTATTCCGCTATAAATGGCAATTATGATATTATAGCGTCTCTCTTTTTTTGGGTTTTACAGATGACATTTAATGATTTTACAATACAAAGTTGGTGGAATAATTTTATAATATGTGGAGCATTATTTTGTAGAAGAAAAATCAATACAAAAGAGATTGCTGAGCCAAAAAGCATCATCACGTGATTTTAACTCGGGTTAGTATGTTCAGTTGCCAAAGAACATACTCTTAGAGACGCTCGTATACAATGCTGTATTTATTGACATCCATTGATAATTGTGTTGACTTCTTTTGTGCACGCACGTTGACTCATTATTAGCAATTACCACGAAAACTGAAGATAACACTTTCAGAGTAGGGTACGTTGCCTTGTATAAACTCACGAAGTTCCCCCACCAAACACCACCTATAGGGTGTTTTGGAAGACAAAAATTGTAATGGCACTTGAATCCAACCAGACATCAACAAGTACAATGCGTAATACGTCATATGAAAATGCTCAATGCTATTCATGGTCATAGAAACCTTCTGTTTAGTTTAAT